GTCTCAGAGTCTTGAAGGACAGGTCTGGACACCATCTTATCAAGGAAGATGATATTCTTCGGCGAGGAAGGGAGTACTTTGAGGAACTCCTTAACCCTGAGGAACCGAACGAACACTCCCCTATAATGTAGCAGGGAACGAATACTACTATCGCTGTAGATGAAATGACACAAGCTGTGAAAAGCTTCATAAATGGAAAGGCTGTTGAAATTGATGAAATCTGCCCTGAAATGCTCAAGACGTTATGCGAACAGGGCATGTGCCGGCTTACACGTGCCTGTCGGACTGTGATGAATACGGGGAAGAGACCAGCGGAGTGGAGAACGGGAGTTGTACCGCTATTAAAGAAGGGAGACCACAAGGAATGCGCCAATTATAGGGCATTACGTTATTGAGCCTATGAGGTAAAGTCTATGCAAAGGTGCTAGAAATCAGGTGCCGCGAAATAACTTACCTCAAGATACAAAAATGGCAGTGTGGCTTCCTGCCCTGTCGAAGCTCCACACCATATATTTGTCATGCGTCAGATTGCTGAGAAATCTTGGAAGTACGCCCGTCCGGTGTATATGTGTGTTTTGACCTAGAAAGAGCCTATGACCGGATCCCACGCAACAGTCTCTGTTCATGCTTTCGAGCATTACGGGATAGATCGCCGTCTGCTAAGGTCCATCCAATCACCGTATTCTAATAACAGGTACTGCGTCAGAGTAAATGGCGTTAATTCGAACCATTGAACGTTCGCACTGGTCTCCGCCAAGGCTACGTCGTGTCTCTTATCCTGTTTGTGTTGTACATGCATAGAATAGTCAAGAGCAGCCAAGTCGATGTGGGTATCGGTGTAGGAGATGTGAAGAAGAGAAGGCTGCTGTTTGCAGACAATCTTGTTTTATTAGCATTTTCTGAAACTGATCTTGAGTGCTCCCTAGAAATGTTCGCAGCCGAGTGCGATGTGACTGGCATGCGTGTGAACGCATCTAAAACGAAAAGCCTAGTGCTTCTCGTTCTCCTGCCCGTTGCTCTCTTCAGATTAACCGAAAGGCAGTGGAGCAAGTGGGGTAGTTGAAGTACCTTGCGATCGTATTTACTCGTGAAGGAAAATTTGAGGAAAAGATCGACCGGCGAATTGAAGGAGCCAGTGGCGTTCTGCGTGAATAGCCTGATCCATTCTGACCATCACTGGAAAACTTCGAATCCGGGTACAAGCTGCTGAAATGGGCTTTCTTAGGCGAGTCGCTGGCCTTACGCTTCTCGACATGGTCCGGAATATTGACAACCGGAAGAGCTTTGGTTACAGCCTTTGCTTATCCAGATTGAGTACTCAGCTGCGATGGTTTGGCTATGTGTTGCGAAAGCAACCAGAAAGGAAAGCTGAGCAACTCTTTCTTGCGAATCCGACCGGCAACAGCCCAGGGGACGGCCAAGATTAACGTGGTACAAATATATGGAAGGAGTCTTTTTCAGACTCCAGTTGTGTTGTGCCGAATTTCAGACTGTGGCACAGGATCGGGAACGTTGGAAGCTCTGT